TATTTCTTGGGTATTGAGATTGCTAGATCTAAAGAAGGGATTTTCATCTCCCAGTGAAAGCATGCACTAGATCTTCTCACTAAGACTGGAAAGCTTAGTGCCAAACCTGCCACCACTACTATTAATGTTAACCAAAAGTTCTCGGCTAATGATGAGATCTCTTGATTGACAGGGGAGTGTTTCAGAGATTGTTGGGAAGGTTTCTATATCTTTGTATGACACAGCCAAACATTTCCTATGTTGTGAGTGTGATTGGCCAATTTATGCATGCCCACAGAGACACATGGCTACTGCAAAAAGGGTGCTATATTATCCTAAGGAAACCCTTAGGAAGGGTATACTCTTTGCCAAGCATGGTCATTCATATGAACGGGAGCATTCCGTTGAACTATTTTCTTCACCACTTCCTTTGCCTTCTCCTATTGATCTTGAGGTTGAATCTCCTATGGTTCCTTTTGTTCTAGTGGCAGAGCCTTCATCTCCCAAGTCTACCATTCCTACTCCTCCTCCTCCTACTAGTCCTCCAATTTTCAGTACTCATCCTATTGTTCAAAGATGGTATCAGAGACAAAAGCTACGGCATGATTACATTGTTCCCTCATCTACAGTTGAGCCTCAGACACTCTCAACCCCTAAAGAGAGGAGAAGTCCTTCACCGCCTACTCCAAAACCTCACCTCCCAGACTTGGACCTACCTATTGCTGTGAAAAAAGGTAAGAGAAAATGTACAGCACATTGTATTTCCAAACACCTATCTTATAGCCTATTATCCCCATCTTATTATTCTTTCTTAGCTTTCATTTCCTCTCAGCCTATACCCAAGTCAGTTACAAAGGCATTGTCTAAGCCAGAATGGAGGGAGGTTATGAGAACTGAAATAGAAGCACTTCGTAAAAATCATTCTTGGGATATTGTGGATTTGCTTTAAGGGAAGGAACCAGTGGGATGTAAGTGGGTGTTCATTATCAAGTATCAAGCTAATGGCACCATTGAGAGGTAGGCTCGGCTAGTAGCCAAGGGTTATACTCAGGTATATGGAGACTTTCACACTAGTTGCAAAAATGACCACAGTGAGAGTCCTGCCATCCTAAGCAATGAGTTATGACTAGCCCTTATATCAATTTGATGTAAAGAATGCTTTCTTAAATGGAGACTTGACTGAAGAGCTTTATTGTCACTTCCACCAAATATGTATGGTAAGGAAATGTAGGGCAAGGTATGCAAGTTGAAGAAATCTCTTTATGGACTCAAGCAATCCCCACGAGCTTGATTTGATAGATCCAGAGCTGCACTTGTTGAGTTTGGCTATACATAGACACAACCCAAACATACATTGTTTGTGAAGAGGAGAGGCACTCAGGTTACCTTCCTCATTGTTTATGTTGATGATATTGTCGTTACAAGGAGTGATACAAAGGAAGTTTAGGCACTCAAGTCATTCCTTAACTCAGAATTTGAAATTAAGGATTTAGGGGAATTGAGATATTTCCTGGGAATCGAAATTGCTAGATCTAAAGATGGCATCTTCATCTCCCAACGGAAGTATGTGTTAGATCTTCTCACGGAGACCGGGAAACTTGGTGCCAAACCTGTTTCTACACCTATTGATGCTAACCATAAACTCTCAGTTGATGATGGTAAGCTTTTGGAAGACAAGGGAGTGTTCCAGAGACTTTTGGGGAAGTTGCTATACCTTTGCATGACACGACCAGATATCTCATATGTTGTGAAGTGTGATCAATCAGTTTATGCATACCCCTAGAGACACACATATGGCTGCTACAAAACGAGTTTTGTGTTACTTGAAGGGATACTTGATAGAGGCTTACACAGATGACGACTGGGCTGGTAGTATTGATGATAGGGATACTTGATAGAGGCTTACTATGCCTTGGTTGAAGGGAACATTGTCTCCTAGAGAGTAAGAAACAAACAGTAGTAGCCAAGTCTTCGGCTAAGACAAAGTACAGGGCAATGGCACATGAAGTTTCATAGTTGTTATAGCTCATGTCACTTCTAGAGGAGATGGGCAGTACACATGATAAACCTTCAATGTTTTACTATGATAACCAAGTTGTGATCAACATAGCTCACAACCCAGTTCAGCATGATAGGACAAAACATAATGAAGTTGACTGGCATTTTATAAGAGAAAGGGTAGCTTCTAGAGAAGTTTGCCTTCCTTTTATTGCCTTAAAGCAACAGTTAGCAGATGTTCTGATCAAGGGTGTCCCCAAGGCAAAGTTACAACATTGTGTAAGCAAGCTGGGCATGATTGATATCTATGCTCAACTTGAGGGGGATGAATGGGCCTTAGTTTCTATTTTTTACTTTAAGTAATGTTTATAACTTGTGTTAGTAGGTAGTGGGCCTTAGTTATGGGCCTATTTTCTCTTTTTTTATTGTTTTTTATTGTTGTCTTTAGTGATGGACGCCCTACTAAGGGCACTCGTGTAATTGTCCTTATTTTTTAGTTTTTACAAGAATAAAAGAGATCATTGGGGGCTGAAGACAGGTTTTGAACTACTCTCTTCTTCCTTTTCTTCCATCTTCTTCCTCCATCACTTCTCTCTCTTCAATCTCCTTCTTTTCTCCTATTTCTTTTCTTTTAATTCAAATTATTGCAGGTGTGATTTACAACTTTATTAAAACCTAGACTAAGACTAATTATTAATTGTTCACTAATTATTAAAACTAAACCAAACCGAACTGAATTTGGTTAAGGTTGGTTTGGTTCTGAACTCTAGTTTGGTTGGGTGTGGTTGGGAAAGATGATCAAACCGAATAGTCGGTTAGGTCCTCGGATCTAACCGAACCAAACCAAACCAACCGGTTGTACACCCCTACAGAAGATCCACATCGGGTTAATGTGCCATGGTAGCTAGAAATATTGTGTCCTGGAGAATAAGAAGCAATCTATGGTTGCTCGATTTTCAGCTAATACAAGAGTACAAGGCTATGAACCATGGGGTTTTGGAGTTATTGCAGGTGTGATTTACAACTTTATTAAAACCTAGACTAAGACTAATTATTAATTGTTCATTAATTATTAAAACTAAACCAAACCGAACTGAATTTGGTTAAGGTTGGTTTGGTTCTGAACTCTAGTTTGGTTGGGTGTGGTTGGGAAAGATGGTCAAACCGAATAGTCGGTTAGGTCCTCGGATCTAACCGAACCAAACCAAACCAACTGATTGTACACCCCTACAGAAGATCCACATCGGGTTACTGCGCCATGGTAGCTAGAAATATTGTGTCCTGGAAAATAAGAAGCAATCTATGGTTGCTCGATTTTCAGCTAATACAAGAGTACAAGGCTATGAACCATGGGGTTTTGGAGTTATTATGGCTCAAATCTCTCATAGAGGAGATGGGTATTACTTATGATAGGCCACAATGTTTTAAAAGCGCAAGGTGCAAAAAAGGCGCAGGGATCAATTTGCGCTTGAGGCGTAGGACGTAAGGTGAGGCGCATGCCTTTTTGAAGCAAGGCACAAAATTATAAAAAAATGCTAAAAATCAAAAAAAAAAAGAAAATTCAAAAAAAATGCCAAAAAGTCAAAAAAAAAATACTAAACATAATATTAATAAAAAATATAAACTTAAATTTTAAAATAATGTTTTAAAAAACCTATTAACTAAAATTAAAATACATAAACATAAGATGTAATTATGTAAAGCATATTCAAATGAGAATTTAAAAATAAAATCAAACATATAAAACATTTTCAAGCATTTAAAATCTCTAATCTCTTTTTTCACTCAATTGCATTACTTCACGTTGCTAATGTAATGTAAAACATATTACATTCTTGATTCTACGAGCCACCTTTGTGCCATGCCCCTCAAGGAAAGCCTAAACAAGTCCATGTTAGCTCTTAAATTCTTAGTTTTCACACAAAAAATATGATTTTATAGTTTTACTTACTTTTTAAAAAGACATTTTATTAGGATGAATGAACAAACAACATTACCAAATTAGGATGAATGAATGAACAACATTACCAAAAAAGCGTCAAATTTTCAAAAGGGCACCTGGGCTGAGGCGCAAGGCACATCAGGCGCACACCTAGGCACACCAGGCATGCACCTTTTGAAAGGACTGCGCCTAGGACCTAGGCGAGGCGCATACATTGAGCATGATAGAAGTAAGCACATTGAGGTAGATAAAAACTTCATACAAGAGAGAGAGTGGTATCAGGGGATCTTCCTTTCATTTCTTCAAAGGAACTAGCAAATATCTTGACCAAGGGAGTTCCTAAGGTGAAGCTCCAACACTATGCATGCAAGTTGGGCATGATTGACATCTATACTTAGCTTGAAGGGGAGTTTGTTTATTCAATATCTTTATTTTTGTTGTATTGTGCCTTGTTTATGGGCCTCAAACTTATTATTTCTTATGTGCTTTGGGTCAGCCACCTAACTAGGGGCATCCATGTAATTTTGTTTCTTTTTTTATTCAGCATATATAAATCGATTGTGGGATATAGAGAGAGATACGATTCATCTCTTCTCTCTTCCACTTTCTTTCTCTTTCCCCTGAACATCTTCTTCCTTCTTTATTTTCTCTTCTCTAAAATCAGGATTATTGCTGGATTATATTTCTTCTAAAGGCTTCAAACTAAATGTTATATATCATTCTTTATTGCATTTTTTTATCAGCAAAGAAATTCATTTATTGATTTAAATCTGAATTTGAGAGACATATTCTTTAATGCATATTTGCAATCTATATTAACTTATGAGATTGTATCACTGTCTCAAATTTATAACATATTTTTATTTAGATGACCAGTCAAAACCAAAGCATCAACTAGTCATCCAATTGGCTAGAGAGCCCAAAATTACTAGTCATCACCTCACAGCTTGAAATAAAGAATGAAGGCTAATGCAGGTAAATAACATGCAAGATGTCGCATACAATTTCTCAATAAAACAAGAAATTCCGGATGGTACCATAACAAACTTCTTTGAAAATAAGGACATGAGAAGTTTGTTACCTGTAATGCCTTACAGACTCAGTCTTGTTCCCTTGTATCCAAGCTTTCAGTAAATACTCATAAAAGCTGCAACCATCAAATATGAGTCAATGAAAAAAGAAAAAAAAAACAATCTAAGCATGATTACATGATATGAGAAGTAGCATTACATATAGTAATTTCCATCCCAGAGCTAATTCCTCTAGAGCTCTTAAAGGTCTCCTTGAAATAGACAAGGAGACCTTAAAGTCAAGGGAACATTCAAGCTAAAATACACATAGAAATATATTTGGCAACTCCTTAAAGTCAAGTAATAGGATGGGAATTAATCAGCTATTCCATTGAATCCAAAACAGATATTCTCCACATGCACCCCCAGCTTAGCTAAGTAATCAGCTATCCCATTGACCGATTTCCTTTGCAAAATAATCCTTACAGTCATATTAGTGGTTAACCATTTAAATCTTTTCACCATTTCCTTGYAAGTCCAAATAACCGTGTCCGGATCCATTAGCCATCCAACTACCAACTTGAACTTCCCCTCAATTATCAATCTATCCACATTCAGCTCTCTAGCAAACTGTGCTCCCTGCAAAGTTGTTTGAAACTCAGCATGGATAGAGTCCCCCACTATACAGGGCCTGAGTATAAAGCGATTATATTCCCTTCTGCATTCCTGAACACACCCCTTATCCCTGATGGGAATTAAAAACTTGAAGATTGATAAGAATCTAGTGAAACCCTATTCAAAGAAAATGTGCTTGTCACTATTGATTTTAGTTTTTTTTTTTTAATTGTTAATATTTACTGTGATAAAAGAATGTAACATGGTTGGCCCCTTTTGTTGGCCTATCCTCGTTACCCACCCTCATACAGTTTTACATACTCCATAAGTTGGTTGTCCCCCAAAAGAACTCTTCCACATTTACCTCATGCTTTGCTAGCAAATCTGCAATGCCAGTTGCTGATCTATGAACCCAATGTAAGAAGCTCACCAGATCCATTGCTATCCTTTTAATTTCCCTTAATGTGTGCAGATGTTGCCATGTACCTTGATTATTGTTCTTTAGCCAACCCATAGCTACCTTGGAATACCACCCTCCACCACTTTGCTGGTTTTGTTAAAATGTATAAAAGGAAATACCTTCAAGGGATATCATACCACAAACCTTAAAGGCTTAAGAATATTGTCGTCTAGTATCTCTAAGGTCATTTCACAACTGGAGACCTAAAAATTATTTCAGCCCAGTTGCATCTCAGAACTTGGAAAGAAACTAAAGAAAATCAGAAACCTATATGATATTTATGGCCTCAATTTATTTTGGCAAATACTAGCATCTTGGGCTTGGCAGTCAAATGGAGTCCTTAAATAACAAAAGGACCAGATGTAACATGTCACAGCCCCCATATTTGAAGAAAAAAAATGTTTACAGTTTGTCTTTTTTTGTGATTTAGGCTCTGTTTAGGAAGAGTGCAAATACAAATGGAGCCTATGTGTATGAACCATGCATATATGTATCTGCATGTCCCCAAACGGAGACTTAAGGTCTGAGGAACAAAGCCTGTGATTCTAGCATTGCTCATTGTCAAACTTTTAACATATATCACATCTGAAACCTAGAAAAGCCAATACCTATCACCCATTGCACCAAAGGTGATTGTTGAGTGCGAGGCTGTTCCTGTGTGAGGATTGATATAGATTGGGAGCAGGCCATCAGCAGGAAAGGTTTTACGAAGTTCTGTGATAGCATTCTCCACCTGATAAATCAGTATGCAAAGCACTCAGTCTATTGCAAGAAAACCAACAAAGAGTGATAAGCTTTACTTAAAACCCAAAAAATGAACCATTCTATGGTTACTTTTTTGTCAATAAATGATGGACAAGTTTTATTAAATAAAAAGAGAAGATACATGGAGAGAAACGTTCACAAGCAACCCCAGAGATTAAAAGGAGAAGCCCCAAGACTACCCCCATTCTATAAATTTCAAGAACCCAGAAATGCAGAGTACAATTCAAACCCCAGGGAATCGAACCCCTAATAAAGCTCATTTTTAATGAAATATTCCACAGTTATTATGATTTTGTAAAAAAATTTACTTATGCATAAGCAAAGAAGTTAATAATTTGACATTACTATATATCTACCAGCTGAAACAGGAAAGATAATCTTTTCAACTAATAAAGCAAGGGTACATTCACAAATTTTTACTAGAGCATCCATGTATATAAACAGAACTTACCTTCTCCTGGTACTTGGGGTCTCCTGTTCTTTGGGATAAAGTAATAAATTCCAGCTGCTCTGTGCCAGAATCCGCAAGGATACTGTCACCCTATAAACAAAAATTCTATAAATTACTAAACTAAATTATTCATAAAGTACATGCAATATGGAATCTACTAAGAAGATTTACAGGTCCAGCATATAGGTGCACATGCTTAATGGATCAACAGATTTATGTATATCATAAGCAGTACAGGAACAAGATATCACCTATAAAGCTGTTGTTTGTCATGGTTCCATACCAACAAAGGGTTAAACCATTAAACAACAAGCTCAGTAAAGTTAGTCATAAAAATAGATTAAATGGAGAAATAGGAATAAATACTACCTGCAGCAGTAGTACAATACACACAACCACACAACAAGAGCCTAATAAACCAAATGGCTGATCACTTGCCATGCCTCAACCAATACCAGGAAAAAAAAAACTCAAATTTTCGAGGCTCTAAATCATTGAAAAGAATGCCTCTGTCAACAATTATATGACCATAACTTTGAGAACAATAAATGAAGTTTACTCCATACAATAACAACAGAGTATATCAAAATAGAAAAGCAAGTCCATGAAGAAAGAATCACAACTTACCCCTGTCCATCCTGGATTATGTGCATTTCCATGTGCCAAGTTAATCCTGTTATAAGGAATCCCTGAAGGTGTATTCCATGCAGGAAGCAACCTATCTGAAATATCCCTTGCCTTTTCAAGGAAAACTTTGTCCCCAGATAGATCATATGCACTCATAAGTCCACCTACAACTCTGGAATTCCATAAAAACAAATATGAGATGGACAAGGAGAAGGTAGAGCATGGAAAGTTTAGTCTCTTGCCCTGACTTGACATATTAGGAAAGAAAAGTTTTCACAGTGCACATAGGACTCTTTTTGATTAATAAAGTAAAATTTTCAAAACCATCATAGGACTCTTTCCAACAGGGAAGAGTATAAGTTTGCCAAAAAAACAATAAGATTAAACCTTATTATGCAACCTTATGGTTGTCTCGAAAACACTTGCTTCATAATCCTTGTTGAAATCCAATGAATTTGCAACCCACCTGCCATATAGCAACATTTGCACACCATCAGAAACTACTGGTATTATGTATATTATTCTCTTCGCTGCATCATTAAGAATATATTAATGACAGAAAAGGAAAGGTTTTTAAGTTTCATAAATCTATTCTATAACATATAGTGTGAAGTTAAAAACCTTATTTATTGCTTTTGAAATCTTTTTAGGTGGTATTCAATAGAGTGTTGAAAGAATTTATGGTGTGGTTGAGAAGATTGGACCCCATTGTTCTTAAACTGAAAACTGGTGCTTAAACCCACTTGAGAATGTTCTCTAGCCTGCAGTGTCGTTTACATGGTTTTGTAGTTGAAAATCCATATGAATAATGATTATGTCTCACAGCATGCCTGATGACTTCATACTTACATCAGCAAAAAAAATGAGATTTTGAAGTTGTTGATTCTGAAAGACGAGATTTTGGAGTTTTCAAACAGTGGGAGATTTATGAATCCAAAACCATGGGTTTTGTGTTTTTTTGGAACCACAACCAAATATATAAGAACACCTACTGGTTTTATGTTCCAGAACCAGTTGAAAAGCAACCACAATCCATGTACCACTCCTTCGTCAAAATTGAAAATGATTTAAGCTAGTATAGAGGGAACAAAAGGCAGGTGCACACACACATGCATACTTCAAAAGAGACCAGCTGAAAGAGAAACTGGGAACTCACTCTCTAGCCTTCTGGAACTGCTCCTTGAGATCCATTATGAATAATGTGTCAAGAGAGTCTACTAGAGTTGCTCCAAGGCCACCAAAGCTATTGACACCATTCTTTGTCTGTGGCTGGTTAAGAAAAAGGAATTTGAAATATTACTTGTCAAATTTATGTCAGTACAGACAAAGAAGGAAAAACATACATGCAATACATACTTCTGAAAAGCCAAAGATCACTTATCTCCAACAGTTTCTCATACATTATAGAAAAGCTGACTGACCAATAAAAAGATCATTGTGAAACATCTAATAAATCATAGATAAACATATCAAATTTCATATTTACCACTTGTGGTAATTATTGACTGTCTAGCAACTCCACACTTTATTCATAGGTTACATCTTTTATAGCAAATCATGGCTTACCTATCTACCATGTTCTCGAATTGACATTAAAAAGTATTTTTGTGTCCCCTTATTTAGTTGAGTGGAATTGCTTTTTGTAAAAAGTCCTAGTTAAGCTGTAACTATGAACCAAACAGCAAGTTAATCAGTAACTTATATTCTAATTTTTTAATAGGTAACAAGAAAAATTAATTATCAAAAAATGGGTAACAAGAAAAATTTGCTAAAACTCAAGAGATAGGGAAGAGAAAGGCACACTTAAGCACACAAGCTAGGCGTGCCTTGCCTAAATCCAGGCATGTGCACCTTGTTCCTCAACCCAAGTGCATGTTTTTATAAAATTGCCTTTCTTTCTGCTTTTTGTTGGATTCTTATGTGTTTACAACTTTTTAATGGTTCATCAACTTCTAAATTACCTTTTATTGATGTTTGTTCACTAGTAATGGTTTATTAACTTCTATAATACAAAAAAAAAGACCTTTTAAACACCTGAAGCCATATTCCTGCAAATAGGATCCTTGCCTCGAGGGGCCCTTCCAGAGGAAAAGGGCCAATGTCCTAGAATTTTTATTTACTCACCTACTCATTTATTTATTTATCAAGCATTCATTCATTCATTTATTTTTTGATAAGTAATAACCAGCTTTATTGATGAGCAACATATATATACAAGATTACATACACTTTTTAGAGGGAGCAACTTCACTAATTACTCCCTCAACCCCTTAACATTAATTTACAATTGTGCCCCCGAAAGAAAAAGAGCTGGTTTCTACCCCCCCCCCAATTTGCAAAAACATCAGCCATACAGTTTGCTGATCTTTGAACCCATTTAATTTGAATTTGAACATCCTTAATCAGCCATCTAAAATTGTTTTATTTCATTTCTGTAGGGAAATGCAGCTTCACTGTTCATCAGCCAGACTTTAGAGTTGCCTTCAATGACTAATCTTTCCATCTTCAACTCTCTTGCCTGTGGAATCCCTTGTATAATAGCCATAATTTCTGCCCTTAATGAACCCTCAACTCCAATTGGGCTCAAAAGTTTTCCCACTGCATGTCCATCATCTATGAACAGCCCTCCCACTCCTAAGGGCCCTGGATTTCCCAAATACTACCATTAAAATTAAGTTTGGTAAAGCTCTTTTCCAGTGGCACCCACTATTTCTGAATTACAATCGGCTTTTGATGATGAACCTGTAACTTCCCCCCACTTTCTAATCTCCTAGGATTAGGAGTGCAATATGTTTAAAATCACACTAGCTATTTAGGCCCCGTTCGTTTACTGGTAAAAAAGCTTGGGAAAGTTGGTCAATGGGTATCCTTTTCCCATTGACCAACTTTACAATGTTCTTTTTGCATTTACTAATGGACCCCACAGTAAAATAAGATCCACTTCCCCGGGTAATACTTACCCATCTCCCAAGTGGGCAAGCAACTTTCCCACCTAGGGGGAAATTTTATAAAGCATAATGGGACAACTTTACCCATTTTTATATTAGCTTTTTATGGGTAAAAATGTCATTCTGTTACTTAACTGGGAATCCTGTAAATCAAAAGAACATGGGTAAGTGCACTTACTTGGGTAAGTTACAAAGATGCAAACGAACAAGGCCTTAAAGTAATGCAAATACAAGAGTTTAAGGAGAAGATTGGAATGTTTCAGAAAAAGAGTTATTTTTGAAGAAACAAGAATCAAATGGAAACAAGTTTTGAAGATCAGAGAAATTAAGAACGCATTCATACTGTTAGTGGGAGATGCCATTGTTTGGTTCAAAGGTTTCCTACAAGGTGCAGTCTCTACCAAACAGGGAGAAGATTGGAAGGATTTGAAAGAAAATAATGAAAGAAGATATATAGCAGAAAGAAAGAGTAGTGCAAACAGAAGAGACATTAGCTCTTTGGGATTTTTTTTTGGACAGGGGAAGAAACAACTAATTTGTTTTCCAGAGGGAAGAGGGAGTGCAGGTTGGAGGGAGATTCTGAATCATATTAATGAGTTTTTGAGGATCTTGGAGGACAATCTGGAGATGCTGAAAAGGCAGGCAGGAAACTAAGGGTAAAAATCTCTTAGATGAAAACCCAAAGAAAGAAGGAAAGATACCTTCGGCAAGTTTTGCTGGAGGGATGAAAATGGTTTTCAGAAAAGGGAGAGAAAACCGGGAGGGTCATTCAGTGGTGTCAACAAAGGAGGAGACAGAAGATCAGTAAGTAGTAAGTGAAGCCATTAGTACTGCATGGAGGGGAACAGGTTCATTAATGTTAGCACCTTTTGGCGAAAACAAAGCTCCGTTGGACCTGCTCAAAGACAAAGTGTAATAGTGTATGTTGCTTATGCATGCATATTTTTACTGATAAAAAATCTTGATTTCCATGATCCCTGAAATTATAGATTGTCCATCTGAAATGTATGGACTCAATAGTGTTCTGCTCTAACAGAACCCCCCACACCCACCAGGCCCGAGAACAAGGCAACAATGTTACCACCAACATCTCTAGAAACTCCTACTCGTGAAGGCCCAGGATTACCTTGGCTGCTCCGATCAAAATTCAGTTTTATGAAGTCACCCCTTGTTTGACTAAAGCATCCTCTTCTCCCTCATTGGAGAAGAGGATACCAAAGGCATGTGGAAGCATAATTCTCTGTAAGAAAACGATAATAGAATTACAACTGGGATCATTTTATGACCTCAGGAAATGAAAAACTCCTAAGATTTTTTTATTAATATTTCACAGATGACTCCACCCCAGATGATAAACTTCTCTACATTCTGGTGATGACCCCATGTACTCCAAAAAAAAAAAACTCTATATCTAGTATTCTAATGCTGGACAAATCAGCTAGTTGGATCTGCAAGTCAAATAGCACATGAAACTGATTTTGCTTATGAAAAACAAAGAAGAAATAAAAGAATGGGTACCAAAAATTAGAAAAGAAAAACATAACGTTCTCACAAGCCTATCGTGTTATAAGATAACAAGTCAGAAACCATGTAAAAGCAAAATTATTTAATGCAATGTAAGTGGAAATCCAAAGTGACAGTAATCTTCTATTAAAAAGAAACTGCAAACCTGGAGTTCATCTTGGCCCCATGCATACTTCTCATATGACGTCCATGCATGAATCATGGCATCTTTAACTTTCTGTCTTCGTTCAATGTCAACAGGATCATCCTCAATAGCTTGCTTCTTGGGTTCACTAGTTTTTCCACTAGTCTTAATGATGTCATCCACATCTCCTACATAGTTACGCAGCTGCAAGTATATAACAGAACTTCAGTCTAAATGCTTCTCCCAGAACATTTGAAAGAAAATTAAAGTTTAAAACATTTTAAAATTTGTCCCCCCCCCAACCCAATCACGATAACAACAAAAAGATAATATACAATGATAATAGAAAACTACAATGCACACAAGCGCACATAGACAAAGCAGCCTGACGCTACTGGCTGTATAGGTGGGTCGTCCTCGCTGTTGCATTCTTTTAGGCTATGGATTACAGGAACAAATGTAGTTGAATGGGACATACACGAAATAGTCAAAAAATGGAAGACAAGCATTTTATAAATCTTACCTGATTCTGAAGTTGGACCAGTTGTTCATTTAACTTAGAAACCTCCACCTGCAAATATGAACATGTTAAACCAGGTAAATCCCTTGCACTAAAAATGCATAATGAGAGAGAAAGAGGGAGAAAGGCTTTGATTATAAGACATTCATGACTATATTTAAATACAAATCATTTTTATCTAAGGCATTCTCAAAAGCTACCTTTAGCAAAACTAGCACTTCCCCAGAAGTACTCAAAGGTTATATACACATAAAGCATATAGGCAGAACAAAATCCATCAAAAAGAGGACACTGCCAGTACAAAACTGACCACAACCTGATAAATTTTTTAGGGGGTAAATAGATTGACAGATCAGATGAGCAAAATATTGTATTATCCTTTGCTAAAACACCACCAGTAAGTCGGTAACAGCAACAAATCTGCTCCACTGATTGTTCAGTAAAAGCTAAAAATTTTGCGGTACTAATACAATTAAGCAAGAAAATCCATTACAAATCCATAATGTTTATTTCATTCTGTATTAAAAAGACATCATTTCTAAATTTCTCTTGTAGCATTCATGGAGAATATAACTGTATAATTCTTTATTACAGCATTTCTCGAAATTGAGATTCTTTCGTTCTTTTCCAAGAGATATCTATTCCTAAATCAAAATCTTTAACAAACTCCTCTCTAAATACAAAAAGCAAAACTTTCTTCGAAACCCAAACACCAAATCCCATTAAAAAACTAAAATTCAGAAATTAAAACATAACTGATTACCCAAGAGAACAAGAATCTCAGCCTAAGCAACAACAATAAGAATAAGAAATAGAAGCAGTACCTCGTGCTCTCTGACTAGGGTTTGTCGATCCCAAACAACCAACGAGACAGACACGAAGGCGATGAACAGGAGAGCGAGACGCTTTGGCCGCTTCAAGTAATACGATGGGTGAAGGTATCTCCATCGACTGGATGAAGATCTAGCCCTCGCCATTACAATTTAGACTTTCACGAATCAGAAATCAGGACCCAGAAATTACACAATATAATTTACAAAAATAGGAAAAAGAAAAACAAGAAAGAGATGTTCTTATTCTTAAAAATCTTAAATGTTCTTGTTCTTCATCTCAAATTGGATCCTAATTTCTGGAGTAACGTGGGCAGGAAGAGATCAGGGATCTCTGGCTCTGGGTAGATCATTTGTTTAATGTGTTTTCGAAATCTTAACTTGGAAGAGAAATATTTGTTGGTTTGGGTCGACGAGTTGACGCTCGTCGGTCGTCGCAAAGAAGGGGGAAGACTCGGCAAGTCGGGTCTCGGGTGGACGGTAGAACTGAGAGAGAGTTGGTTCGGTTGGATGCTTCATGCTTGGAATGGAAATTAAGACATGGGGCCTACGTCCATGCCGTAGACTCAGTCCGAATATCACTACGTTTGGAATCTTTTTACTTCTTGTTGGTGTCATTGACCAAAAGTTCAACTTTTCTAATCGTTTGGATGGAAAGCAAAAAAGTCATTTTCGTGGAATTGTTTTCATTTGGGAAAAAAATTGTTCACTCCTTTGATATTTTTAACGAGTATGAGAATTTTCTATAAATGGTTTCATTCGATTTGAGAATTTTCTAAATTACGATTTGCAGTTTCGGTTTAGTTTATTGAATTTTATAAATCGAATTAAACGGTAAATCGAAATTTTATATACATATATGATATATAAACATTATATATAATATATCTAAATAAAATGCGTAAAATTATAAATATATAATAAATTCTTTATTTTATAATAAAATAATAAATAAGTTTTTAAGTTTTTATTTTTAAGGGAACTATTTGGGCTTTCTAATTGAGTTAAGACCAAAAGAACTATAGAATGGTCCAACATCCCTAAACCGTATTAGAAAATACATTAAACCATAATAAAACAGTTTGGTTTAATTTGGTTTTCATACCAAAATAATTTGATTCGATTTAAAAATTTCTCAAATCATAATTTACTAATTTGGTCTCAGATCTTCTCCAAATCGAACTATAAACACCCTTAATCGTCCTCTAAAACACGATGTTGGATGTTGGATGTTGGATGTTGGATGGACAATACCCAGCATTGTATTAAGTGCTTTTCAGCTTTTAAGTGTTTTTTATGTTGAAAATGACGACGTATCCATCACGGAGGTCCTAAATTTACGGAGAAAATAAAAACATTTGATAAAACTTTGGCTATCCAGCTCCCCATTTTACAAATACTTATCCATTTGCGTTTTACTAAACCGTCCCTATAGTTTGTAATTATTTTACTTATTCAACCCTCCTACACTATTTTTATCAGGGAATGGCTATTGACCTCCTAAAGCACGTAGAAAATGTGAGGGGACATGAACCTAGGAAATTTTATTTAAAAAAGGAAATGACCATTTTAACCATAACCCCTTTCAAAATACAAAGAAAAGATTACCCCTAAAAGTTTTCATATCACATTTATTTGTTTTCTAAAATGTTGATAGAAGAAGTTATTTTTGGAATAAAAATCTTGGACCAATGCCCCTTCATATTTTAGACACACCCAATGTTCAAAGTTTAGTAAATGCTAAATGTATCGGAAAGACAAATTTAAGAGACCTATCGGGATACCCTTAGATATGCATAAATACATACGGAAAATTAAGATACAAAGGGAAACACATGAAAACACTATAAATACTTCAATAAATCATAATATACATCAATAACATTAAATATAGAGCCTAAATGAGATATATATACATAAAAACACATCCTTTAGTGATTTTATAAAAAACAATATATATCATAATCAATATACGAAAACATAAGGGTATTCTCTAATAAGGTTATAACTACAAAATATAAGTTTAATAATTATTTAATAAAATATTTTTATAATTTTTAAATGATTATTTATCTCTTATTCAAACAATTATTTTTTTATAACAAAAATTAAAAAATAAAATGTAACAAAAAATTAATTTTATAGATGTGATGGATCATCCATAAATTTACAACATGGTAAATATTATAGTTTAGATCACACCAAAAAAAAATTTAGTTCTTGTTGGAGTCATTAACCAAAAGTTCAACTTTTCTAATCGTTTGGATGGAAAGCAAAAAAGTCATTTTTCGTGGAATTGTTATCATTTGGGAAAAAATGTTCACTCCTTGATATTTTTACCAATCGTCCTTTAAAACATGATGTTGGATGGTGGATGAACACTACCCAGCATTGTATTAAATGCTTTTTGAGACTAGATCTACTCCTCACACCAACCTCCCAGGCACATCCCACCGGCCATTCCCAATACACGGTAGGATGTGCCTGTGAGGTCATTGTAAGGTGCCCTGTGTGAGGAGCAGATCCCAATTCATTTTTCTTTTAATGTTAAAAATGATGACATATCCGAGATCATTCAATTAGTGCATGAACCGTTCAAATAGTGTTTAAAGCCTTGCATTGAGAACATCTCCGTATTTTTGTGCTTTATTTCATGGGGAGATATTCCCAATGCAAGGTTATAGAGGCTATTCGGACGTGCCTTGCACTAACTAAATTCGGTTTCATCACAGAGGTCCTAAATTTACGAAGAAAAAGAAAAACATTTAGTAAAACTTTGTGTAGACACCCCATTTTTGTGATCTTTAGTCTTTCTGCAACACTTAGAGCTTCAAGTATGCTTCAACTAACCTCTCAGCTGACCCGGGGGTATTTTTGGAATTATACAAAAGTTGGGGCCTCAAGGATCCAAGACCATAGGCATGTAGAGCCCAAAAATTGAATCCGATGACATCAAGATCACCCAAATTCAACATTGTTTACCCCTTCATTTTTAGACCCAAAGTAAGAACCGATTTCGATCATCCGATTGGAGTCATTTTGACCCTATACCTCATTTCACACCAAATCAGAAATACAAAATCATAGGTACATAGAGCCCAAAAATCCAAATCCAACAACACCAAGATCACCCAAATCCAACATCGCTTACCCCTTCATCTTAACACCTGAAGCCAAAATCGATTCCAATCGTCCAATCGAGATAATATTGATCATAAACCTCATTTCACATCAAATCAGAAATCCAAAATTATAGGTACGTAGAGCCCAAAAGTCCAAATCTAATGACATCAAGATCACCCAAATCTAACACCATTTACCCCTTCATCTTAAGACCCGAAGCTGAAATCGATTACAATCATCCGGTTGGAGTCATTTTGATCTTGAACCTCATTTCACATCAAATCCAAAATCCGAGACCATAGTTACATAGATCCCAAAAATCCAAATCTAATGACATCAAAGATCACCCAAATCTAACACCGTTTACCCCTTCATCCTAAGACCCATAGTCGAAATCGATTTTGATCATCCGATTAAAGTCATTTTGATCTTGAACCTCATTTCGCATCAAGTCCAAAATCTGAGACCATAAGTATGTAGAGCCCAAAAATCAAAATCCAACCACACTAAGATCACCCTAATCCGACACCATTTACCCCTTCATCTTAAGACGCAAAGCTGGAAACAATTATGATCGTCCAATCGGAGTCATTTTGATCTTGAACCTCATTTTACATCAAGTCTGAAATCCAAAATCATAAGTACATAGATCCCAAATATCCAAGTCTGACAACACCAAGATCACCCAAATCCGACGCCATTTACCCCTTCATCTCAAGACTCGAAGCCAGAACCAATTTCGATCATCCGATCGGGATCATTTTTTATCTTGAACCCTATGCCTCATGCAAAATAGAGTAAGTTTTAGTAAATATGTGAAACTATAGAGTAAATGACCCTAAATAAAATATATATGGCTTACAAGTTATAACCAATGTTTTCAAACCGTCATTGACCCGAACAGTCAGACCGTTCGGACTAGAAACCAAACGCTTGAACGGTTTAGGTTTTACCTTGAACGGTCAACCATCTTAAAACCGTTGAAATGGTAAAATACCCGTCAACCCGAATAGTCGAATCGTTTGACCAGGGTAATAGGTATGGATTCGCCATTCTAATTTATTTATCCATTATTTTATTTCAAAATAAAAAATGACCAACATGTCCCCATAAACATTTTTGTTCGATGCCTCCCTGTTTAGGGTTTTGTTTTGCCAAAACCCAGCATCTCCTTCAAGCTTCACTGAAGAAGAGAATGGTGGCACATCGAGCACTTGCATTCTTGAAGTCTGAACAACCAACCACCAACCACCACGATTTGCAATGACAACCAACAACCACAGTGGAGTGACTGGTTTGGGGTGCAAATCCATGCTCCACAATCCAACATCTCTTGCCGCACAATGACACCTATCTTTCTAAACATCCAACTTGATGGTGTGCGATCTGGTCACTCCTAGACGGATCGCAGCTCGAACGTTGGTTGCTTCATTGGCGGATCAAACTGCAAGGCAGGAAGGATCAAAGAACCTGGGGTGGCTAACCTGGTCTGGTCACTCCGATGCTTAAGTTAGTAACTGGCTGTATGCAAGCTGAAGGCTTGTAAGTGTGAGAGCTAGTAAGAAAATAATCGTGTGTACCTGGGTCTCAGGGGCTAATTCCCTTATATAGATGGGATGTCGTGGGTCTCACGAAACACCTCCGAGATCCCCGGCCTGCACTGTTAGGAGTCTGTTCCGCCTCAGGAGGTGGATAACGTGCTAGTCGATAAGGCCTATCGTGTCTATCGAATTTGGGTGGGATGAGGATAAGTCCTATGGTTGTATGGCATGATCCCGAAAAGCTCGAAGACAAATGGCATGCTTCTAGAAGTCTAGTACGTGTCACCTCAGTAAGTTGGGCGATCCCGAGCTACTCGGGCCTCAGTCATTGCCGAGGTGCCCGAGACACCCGAGGTGGCAAGTGGTGCTGAGATGGCAGTAAATGTGCTGAGTCATAGCCTAGTCGGCAAGTTGCGTCCACGTGTCCGCTGTCTTACAGGTCAGGCCAAATCACCCCTCATCATAACCTATGACAACCAAGATTTGCGGCAACTATCGGTGACCACTATGGAAGGATTGCAATAGCAATTATCAGGTAAAAAACTTCCATTTTTGGTGTTTTTTTTATTTTTTCTCTCATATGATCATATCTTTGTGCATTAGACATTTAGGTTCTCATTTCCCTTTTTTTTGCTATACTAGGGATTTTTTGCACCGAAAACCACCACTTACGTTGGCAAGTATTGAGCAGTGGAAACTTCATTAGAGCCGAGAACCACCATTTCTCGCACACTGTATTTTATACTTTTCTTTGAAGCTTAAACTGGTATATTCTATATAATCTTTGATTTGTATTAGTGTTCTTAATCTCTACAACATAAACAAAATAGGTGGTTGTGGTTTTAGAATTTTAGTTTATTAAATTT